TCGTATCAATATTTAGAAAAAAACATTTGTTAATTTTATTCATACAAAAGACACTTTTATTAAAATTCAATTTGATTAAAAAAATCAACCTTTATTGTTCAACCATAAACCATGACTGAATTTACAATTAAGTACTTATAACTAAGTTTTATTATTTTAATGTAAAATTGCTGATATCGACAAAACGTGTCTACATTTGAATTGTACCGTTTTGTTGATATCAGACATAAAATTTTGTAATTGGAGTGTCTGCATTCTTTTGTTATATTATGAGAACTTTTTTATTTTTAATTTAAAATTTTAAATAACAGGAAGTGTTGCATCAGCTTTAACAACGGTGTTATACGTAACTCCTGCTAAAAAGTGCAGTTCCCGAGGTCTGATATATCCCAAAAGTTGATCAATCCGTGCCATGGTAGAGATAAACATACATGTAAAGTTTGATAAACAATAAACAATGATTCCTTTCGCTATCATATGCCAATTTTCCAGTAATTTTCGCTAGAATATGCTCACTTGCAATAGGTGATAAACGAAAGTTTTGTAATGTATTACAATCAAGTTCATAGTTTATTCTTGGTCGTATTCTACGTTCAGATGCTTGCACACCTTCTTCTTCAAAAAGTTTTCAAACCTATTAATTTTTTAATTTAATTATTATATTTCTAGCGCACTAAACTTTACTCGAAACTCAATAAACATGTTATTTTTAACATACTTAATGCCTTAATTACTCTATTAAGAATGATCCTAGGCTTAACTTTCCCTTAAATCTCATAGTATAAAGTGTACATATACCATATATATATGTCAATTAAGCCTATTAAGTATATACATAAGTGCAGAGGCGGACGGTTCATATGAAGTATGCATTTGCAGTGGGCGACAGAAAAGCAGGCCCGCCATTAAAAACTTTAAAAAACCATAAATTTTAATACAAATTTAATTCAATTTACAGCGAAATTAACTTGATAAGATGTACCTACATACAAACATAATATTTTATTCCTAATAATATAAAAAATGTGCATGAAAAAAAAGGTCAGTTACCCAAAACACTAAGTATTGATCTTCATATATTTTCCTTTGTGCATACTATGAAATGGTCGTAAAATGAAAATTATTGATACATTTTGTTACTCCACACTGCTCTTTTATTTTTATTTATTGTACGAATACACAAAATATTTTTTTCAATGTATGAATCATCAGAATTGCAATTATTAATTTTTCCTTTTACATACATACTAGAACAAATTCGTATATGATGCCTATAAACAGAAAATATACAACTGTACACATTCAATCCTACATACACATAGGTGAAATCGTCTCATATCATATACATAGAAGCAAGATACGCAAAAAATAAAAATATTCAAAAATACACATGCACACATAATTTATATTGTTTGATATGAATAAGATCAACACTCATGCGTACACATATAATTATCTCATAAAGCAAGATTTTTATTTTGCTGAGATTACTCCCTATCAACACTCGCTCGTACACATATAATTATATCACAAAGCAAAATTTTTGTTATGCTTAGTGATCGTCCGGGATACACTCGTTCGTACACACTATATTTAAATTGTTTTATACATGCAAAATTTTATTTTTGCTTAGTTGTCGCCCACTCACCAAACAAACACATTATTATAATGTATTACTTTTTCTGTATCTATATTATATTTTACAAGATTTTTCCAGTTCATGAACAGGTATACATATAATCTAATAAATAACAAAAACAAAAAAATGAAAATAGCAAAAGAGAATACTGGGTAGATACATTACTCAATTGATTATACATACTGTAAAACAAAAACAAAAAATGAAAAGCGAAAAGCGAAAGAGAATAAAAAAAGAGTAGTAATATTTTTTTTGTTTTTTTGCTTTACTACCACCATAAACAAAAATAAAAAGCAAAAGGAAGCGAAATATTTTAAATGAGTTAAGAAAGAGTAAAATAATTTTTTGTTGTTGTATTTAATATGGAATGGAATTAAAAAAAATAAAACTAACAATTGTGAGAGATATTAGAACACGAATAATGTTACGTTACGTACTTATCTAGATAACGTTGTTTAGAAGGAAATTTTTCGTTCTTAATTGTTAACTAATTCTTAAATTGAATTTTAATATCTATGTAATTAACAGTGACACATATTACATCTTAAAATTTATTAAATTAAAAATATTTCCATTACTTTTATTTATCATTAGTATTCAAACCAATATGATATTTATGCATATACAAGTATATACCTGCATATGTATGCCATAACATTTACAAATTTTTCTAAACTTATTTTAAAATTGATTGCCACAATCCTGTTTTTACAACAGATAATGCTGCTTATAAGCAAACCACAGGGGCCCCTAGTACTATTACATTAGTAAACAACAAAAAAAAAACAAAAATTAAGAATGAGAATAGAAAGAAATTAGAAAAAGAGAATGAGAGGAATATTCTTAAATAATGGAATGCATAGCGTGATACTGAGATTGTGTATACCAATATTTTATTTGTTTAACAAAAAATTTTGAATAAATTTTTATAAATATATACTACGTATATTGAATTGAAAAAATCTTTTTTAATAAAAAACTTATTTTTTAAGTCACAAATTTTAGAAGGAAACTTTGATTTTCCTTAAATTTTTGAATGTAAGTTGAAACTTTTTTTATACGCTGCTTCATTTCTCAGACGATTTGTGAAATAAAAAGCCAAATTTTATTCGTAAATTTAAAATTATGAATAAAAATAAAAATAAATTTTTACTTTTTTTCATATTCAAATAAGCTTTGATTTGATATAATTTTCATAGAACCTTTTACAATAAGTTTCACTTACGTTAAAAAGTAAATTTTTTGGTTGTTAAAATCAAAAAATCAAGTTTAAATGATTGATATAAATCTTATCATAACTTCATAAAAAAACATACAGTTAAATAAATTACCTTGTTTTTGAATTTATAAAACAAAAAATTGAAAGTTTACTTCCAGACTATAATTCTATAATTAGTTCTGCATTCAGCATAATAAGGTTACAAGAAAGTGCTTATGATGCACAACGTGCAATGCCTATTAAATTTTGTTGACATTCTTGAAATAGGTGAAACGGTTGAAGGGGGGGCGCACTTTTTAGGAACCGCTTAGGGCGACGAATACAACACGACCGCGCCTGCATAAGTGTGACACATATACATATATATTTTGGGCAATGTGGTGTACATTCATCATTATTCATAATGTCCGATGTAGCCGGATATTATGAATACTGATTAATTGAAAGTACATGGTCCATAGCATAATATATATAAATTAACATTATTTTACGCATTAATTTACATTTGTAAAATAAAATGCAATACACTTTTCTTTATTTTACTTTAAATTCAAAAAAAATTTTTACTTAGCCAAATATGAAAGCCGAAATTCCTCTAATAAAAAAAAAATCGATAAGTTATCAAATAATTTAATGTAAACTGATAAGTAAAGATTTTTGGTGCAACCAAAAATGCTTATTTTTAGATAATTTGATAAACTAATCGCTATCTTTAAACAAAAAATTACTTACACTTTTTTTGTTTGGTGCAACACTCATCTGATAAGTGAGTTCTTTTTAATTTTGATAAGCTTATTGAGATCGATAAGCTTATCATTTTCACTTTTGCTGCAACGAAAATTTCGCAAATTTTTTTGATAAGTTGAAAAGTAGTAAGTGATAAATGGTTGGTGCGATAGGGTGTAGATGTTGCATAAGAAGATAAGAGCTTTGCAATAAATTCTAGAAGCGATTGCATGTTCAGGAAAACCGTGTCCTATTATATAGCCAGATATCCGAATGATTCATCCAAGAATATGGAACATCGAAATAAAAGAGAGATGTTGAAATCCGATGACGTACCAAACCTGTCAGCCCGTGTTGAAACATGAAGCTACCGAAAATTTATAAGTGGCCAAAATTGCATGACTTTTCAGTACCGTAATCAATAAAAACAGTTCCCCATCGAACTATGAAAAGTTGCAGTATCCCGAACTTCACTTAATTTATGAGTCGTACAAGCTGTTGCGTTAATTTCAGGGGAAGCTGTTACGTTACCAACAGACGAAAATTACGGATCTGTTTGGAATTTCAGCAGGATTCGGTTGATTCGAAATCGGCGACAATAACAAAATTTGTGGGCATCATGTCGGGGAGTTTACAGGCCTTAACTTATTTGGACGTAAATATCACTCGAAATAAGCACAAATTTTCGTGAAATTCTTAAAACGGATCCACAATTGATGTCCGTTTGTCCGGTACGATCCACGTGTGTCAAGTACAACCGGTAGTAACTATCATCTGTGCCAAACGACCATGTGTTATGTAATTTTACGAAACTTTTATCCCTTACACTAAAGAAGCTAATTGAAATGGTCAGAAGGGACATCAAGTGGTAAGTTGTCCTAGCACCCACAAACTAAACCAATGCAACAGACTACATAATAAATTGCGATAGTTTGAGGATTTTAAAGGAGGTGTAGAATGGCAATTAAAGGTTGGGAAACTGAAGAACTCCTTATATACAGCGATAAGGGAAGCCTTATATACAGCGACCTCCCTGCATTCGCCAAAAGGGCAATATGCAGCACAACTGTCCTTTCCTGAGATGACAGCTTGAAAATCGATTAAAATCCAATCCAGAATTATAAATCAAATACGTAAGATTTATGGACGAATATTTAAATCTAGACCACATGTAGGCAATATAGAGGCAAGAACTCATCGATACCAAAACCACCCACCTTACAATAGTTTTGGTCAAGCTATTTGCCACACATTTAATCTTAAAATAATCAATATTCAAATTATAATACTTTATAAAATATGTATTAATTTTTTTGAGTTGGTTCTTTGACAAAAAATTCTCAAGTACAGTTTCAGTTCAAACATTAGTAATGGAAAAATTATTTTATTAGTTGGTTGTAAAAATGTGTAACTCACCTTTTCTAAAGAATTTCTTATGTGCTCTCTCGCTTTTACTATTTCAGAGACAAGACTAAAAGTATTGAAATTCTAAAAAACACAAAAAGAAAATAATTTAAATTTCTATGAAAGAAGTGTAATTTATATAAACAAAGAAATAACTTTAATTATATTTAAATATATAATATTATATTTAATTATATTTAAATATAATTATTTAAATATCTTTTGGGTAAGAATCAGTGACTTCAATAATGCGCTCAAGACGTAAATTTTACAAAGTATCAAATTCCAAAAAGTTTAGTAAAAGCTCTTGACAATGTACACTCTTCCTAAATGCGTTTTATACGTAGTGGACACGTAAAATAAAAGTAAATCGGGTATCGAAACATTCGAGCACGTTTTTCTTATACCTTGTCATATAAATGTTGCCAGAAATAACCGATAGAATAAACTAGCATATATTTTCAGCAATAAAGCTCTAGTTATAAATTTTTTTTTCCTAAAATGCAGCATAAAAATGCTATGTTTGTAATGATGTGGTAACGTTTTACAAAAATTAACATTTGAACAGAATTTTAAATTAAAATTTTTAAATAAACGTCAAAGTTGTATTGATGTGGTAAAAATTGTATTCCAAAATGCACGAAAAGCTTTAGTAGTTTTTTTTACAATGTAAAAGAATTGAAAGCTCTGAGACAGTACTACAACCGTATTAATACCGTACTTAAATATTTTTAAAGCATTATTTAGGAAAAAAAAAATTTATAACTAGAGCTTTATTGCTGAAAATATATGCTAGTTTATTTTATCGGTTATTTCTGGTAACATTTATATGACAAGGTATAAGATAAAGTTGGGTCAAACCAATGGTTTGTATTGTAGTACTTTTCCCTTCAACAAGTGAAAATTCTGCTTTTAAATACAGTCTATGTATACCTATCACACTTAAAATTATTTTCATTCATATACAAAACTATTTCTAGGATTGCATATATTTAGGATGATGCATACATGCAGTCTTTGAAATAAAGCAAAAATTAATATAAAGAGGGGTTAACATAATGCTCGATTTTAAGGGTTAATTGTGTGAGTTAAGAAAAATAATTATATTTTTTAATGACATGGAATTTGCCGCTAGCTTTCTGTGTTTATAGAAATTTGAAAACATTTGCGGTTTCGGAAATATAAGGCGCCAAAAATTCCAATTTTACAAATTTCAAGAGGCGATAACTTGAGAAGGGATGGAGATGGAAAAAAATTAAATCTAACAAAATGAACTAGTTGTTAATGTCTATAAGCCCCTAAAATTTCAAGCTTATATAGACTGGGGTCTAGAAGAAAAACGAAATCAAAAATTAGGAAAAAGACTTTAGATAACGGTAAATTTGAACGGCCATTTTATTTTTCTAAAGTTTAACTATAGTACACCGCGCTAGGGGAAGCAAGCCACTGCCTTTCTGCGTTTGCAAAATTTCAAAAATGCTTATGGTTTCATTGCAACAAATAGTTAAAAAAGGCATTTTTAAGGTTTTGGGGGAGTATAACTTCTAGAGGGGGGGAGATAGGTAAAAATTTTGTTCTACGGAAATAAGTTTCTAGTAAAGATCTATGTACATACAAAATTTCAGCTTTCTATCTTCAAAAGTGTAGAAGTTTTGTAAACAGAAACACGGACAGACGGACGGACAGAGTGAAACTAATAAGCACTTTTTTTCAAAATTTTTTTGGAAAAGTGCTAAAAAGCGTGCTCCATTTTCTCGATACCCGATTTACTTTTATTTTACGTCTTCACTACGTATAAAACAAATTTAGAAAAAGTGTACAATGTCAAGAGCTTTTACTAAACTTTTTGGAACTTGATACTTTGCAAAACTTACGTCGTTAGCGCTTTATTGAATTCACGGGTTGTTGCTATTGTAATTTTTGCTATTGTAATTTAATCGCTGCTATTGTAATTTACCCAGCCGGGTAACAGATTCGGGCAGCTGCTATAGAACTCAAATAGATTTTTTCTAAATATTTTAAAAACTAAAAGGGATATTAATATTAAATTTTGCAAAAGGTGAATCCAATTACATTTTGCATATGTTATACATCTCCAAATAAGTGTTATTAATTTCACTACAATTGTACTATTTTACTACATTTTGGAATTCTGTACTACTATACTACTACCAAGCCATTTTTACTACTTTTTTGCCTTTATACAGAAAATGTCATTATTTTGTTTTAATATTTGTTTTGAATATAATTCCGTTATATCGTAACAAAAGTCTTTTCAAGGCTTAAAATGTAATCAATATTTATGTCAGTTAATTTATAATTATAAAAATAAATATAAATTAATAATTAATTATTAAAAATGAATATGCTTCGTTCAACAACTTTGAAATTCATATCATTTTATCTTCTGTTAATTCATTACAAAATTTAAATTAATTGGAACTCAGAATTTAAAAAATTGGGAAAAATATAATTGTTTATATAAACGAAATTTGATTTGAAATCAATTTTAAACAAAAATGAATTCGAAAAGCGTGTGTCAGTTTATGAATGACACATTTTTTAATAAGGTTTTTAATCTTTTATACAAATGTAGTTTCCAAAAAAAAGTTGACGGAAACCTAAAAATATGTTTTGTTATGTAAAATTTTTGTTTTTCTAAATTTCAAAATTATTTTCCAAAAAAAGTTTATATTGTTAATGTTTAATTTCGCACTTTACACACTCGAAAATGAATTGACAGTAACTAGATCAATTTGACATTAAAAAAAAAGCACAAGAGGTAGTTCGTTTGGGTCACTTGATTTTACAAGCACGGACATAAAAACATTTTTGCACCAAGCATTTCCTGCTACGCATTTATTTAGTCAGATGCCTTACTTTTTGCTTGGTGTTAATGATAACCCCAAATTACTAATCTAAAGCTCTCCATACTATTTATTTTAAGACAAAATGCTACTGAAAAACAAGTTGAAATTAACAACACTGCTCCAAATGCTTATTCTATATATTTGGAAAAGTAATAAAACTAGATTAGTGAAACTTGGTAATCTCAGGTCCAATTTCAGGTGACATATATCCCTGAGGTTTGATGGAATGGGTTGACAGGCTTAGGTAGCTGCAACACAATTCTACAAACGAATTTTAAATACTTAGAAAAATAATTAAAATAGATTCATGAAACTTGGCAGTCGCGTGTCCAATTACAGATCACATATATCCCTTAAACTAATTCTGGATAACTCAAAAACAAATTGTTAAACTCAGGTTGTGCGGGGTATAATTCGGTCGATTTATATTGACTGTAATGCTTTTACTTGTTTACCGTTTCTATCTGCACACATTTATTTTACATTCCATATTTCATGTTGGTTATCTAACGTACATATTAATAAACAAACATAAGTTCCAATAGGAAAAAGTGTATAGCCTATTTGATTTAGAAAAATATGTTAACATTTTAGTACTAATATAATCGAAATATATCGGGTATAATTGAAAAGTAAGCAATGCAGCATCGATTTAAAATCATCTAAAAATCATGTACAAAAATGCATCAATGCGAAAAGCACTTATAAGATCTGATGAACAAGAATGTCACAAACACGCATACATTTTTTTTGTAATTTTGTATTAATGCAAAGTTTTTACATAGAAACTGATTTATTATTTTAAATCAATAAATAATAAACTTAATTAATTTTACACCCTCCACTTCGCTTTGGTATGGAGTTTGTAACCACTTGAAGGAGTCGCTTTCGGTATGGACATTATATATACAAGGTTATTCAGAAAGGTATACAACTTATACCATTGATTAGAAGGTCGAAAATGGGTAAAACCGAACTAGGTACGAAATCTCAAGGGTTTTCGAGATACGGGGATTTTGACGAATTTTCACGAAATTTCTAGTTATCTAAGCTTTTTACCGACCGCATTGTGTAAACAATCGGTAGGTTATGTGATGGCAAAAAATTTTGCATATCGAGTTTTCGATGGAAATACACTTCTCCATATTAGGGAAGTGTAAATAAAATATTTTTAGCAACCTGTCGGTCTGTCGGTATGTGTGTGCACGCGTGTATCTCAAGTTCGGTTGAACCGATTTTAATGAAATTTTATATGTAAGTTTATTTCCACCATGGCACGGATTGATCAACTTTTGGTATATACCAGGCCTCGGGAACTGCACTTTTTAGCGGGCCTGTTTTACATTTTTCAACATTTTGAAGAAAATATTCAACCGATTTACTTGAGATTTTATATATAAGCTCAGCTCGACCGTCCGCGAAAATTCCTGTTTTGGAAGAAATCAGGCATCGGCAACTAGACGTTTACTACGGGCCAAACATACACTTTTGTGTATATAAAGAGAAATAATTAACCGATTTCATTGAAATTTAATATATGACCTCCTCATATTAAAGCAATGAACATATAATTTTTTTGGAAAGATCAGGGCTCAAAAACTGATTTGCGGGCCGATTTTACATTTTTCACCATATCTACGGAACGAATTGATGGAATTTCTTGAATTTGATATTTGAGTTCTCGTTGTTACCGAAACTAACTGGCGAGCATTTCAGGGAATTCGGGTAGCACAAAGCAAAACTCTACTAAGAGCCAAATTTACATTTTTCTAAGTATGTTAACTATAAGCTTACTAATGTCCTAAAAATTGGAAAGAAGTATTTAACAGACATTTTTATAATATTCTGTAACACTTTCATTTAACTAGACAATACACAATGCGGTCGGTTATGTGCTGACCACATCAGATTTTTTGATTATAACTTCCGTTCCGAAAAAGGGCTTCAAACAAACATTTTCTAAAAGGTCTAGTTAAAATCAATAAAATCAAAAATAATGAAATTTTTTGGCTTTTTAGATTTTATTGGATCCTTAAAATCTTGACATAGAAAAGGTTTTCGTGCTATATCTTCTGTACCATAAAATATTTTTCAACTAAAATATACTAAAATTAAGGTTTGAGAAAGTGGCCAAAATTCTGTAAAAAAAAATTTCAAAGTTTCAAAAAAGTTAGAACGAAATTCCATGGTTAGAAAAAACTTGATTGGAAAAAT